TAAAGTAAGTACTTATTTTAATAACCTTAGCAACTTTATTAATCTATCAATTTTTTACAAAATTTTTAATAATTAAAATAAATTATATTAAATAATTATATTTATTTATAATTATTAATTTTTAGGGGTATTAGAAGTCGAATTATATTACCATTTCAATCAAATATTACATTAACTGTAATAAAATTTAATTCATCATCATCTAATTCTTCTTCTGATTCATCTTCTGATTCAGATTCAAGTTCTGATTCTGAAGTTTCTAATAAAGATAGAAAAAATAATGTAAATTTTTTATAATTTTTAATTAAAAAAATATTTTATGTATAATTGTATGTGTGCAAATTTTAATCTATTTATTTTTTTTTAGAAGGTATTTAAAACCATAGAATATTTACAAAATGCAAAAGTTGCACAAAAAAAAAGACAAATAGGTAAGATATCAATTTATTTCAAGTTAAATGTATAATAAGATAAAAAAAATTTATTACAGAAAAAGAAATAACCAAAGCAGCTCAAATCTTAACTACCACATCAACACAAGATAAAGAAAAAATTCTTTTACCTTTGTTAAAAAAAATTGGTAATATACAAAATGCAGATAATATATTTACTAAAAGGTTAATTATAATCTTTTAAATTAAATTATGTTCATTTTAAGATATTACATATTATATATTATAATATTATATAAATAATATATTATTTATAGCAATATATATAAAGATGCAATTAAAAAAGAAGATAAAATAAATTGGAAAAAAGAAAATAATATCAAAAATTCAATTAAAAATATGAAATATCAATCACAGGAAAAATCTTTCTTATTCCAGAATCAAAAAAATACGACAAAAAATATTAACGACGAATTTAAAACAAAATATGATCATAATGCAACACAATCAAATATATCAGTAATTAAAATGTTACAAATAAAACAAAATAAGGCAAATATTAATGCTAAATTTGAAACAAAAATTGATAAGTCAAAAGAGATACAAAAAGAACCATCTATTATTAGATTGCTAAAAAACCAGCAAAAAAAAATAAAAAATATTGATGATAACTCTGAAAAAAAAATTAAAAAAGAACCATCTATTATTAGAATGTTAAAAAATGAAGAAAAAATAAGGAATATTGATAAATCAAATTTGAATATATTTAAAATAAAAACTGAAGTAAAGAAAGAACCATTTAATATTAAAAAACAAGAACAATTAAAGTCTATATATAAACATAAAACAAAAATAAATATTGAAAATGATAAAAGGTTGCATATTTTATTAATAAATAATTAAAGTATATATAACATAAATAATTTATATAAAATTTTTCAGTGAGCATGTATTTTTGGAACTTACAAAGTTTAAAGGAATTTTCTATAAATTTGAAGAAGATTCAGATGTTCCTAAATTTAAAATGTGGAATACATGGGAAAAAAATGAATTACAATTTTCAATATCAAAATATCCTAAAAACGCATTTCAAGAAATGATTGAATGGACTAAAGAAGGAAAATTATGGAAATTTCCTATAGATAATGAACAAGGTATTTATAAAATATGGAATTTACTATTATTTTATACATAATTTATGTTATATATAATGTAAATTTTTTTTTCATAATATAGGGATGGAAGATGAATATAACGTACATTTTTCAAAGCATGTATTTTTGGAACATCATTTAGTACCATGGTGTCCCTCTAAGGGTCCAATACGACATTTTATGGAATTAGTATGTATTGGACTTTCAAAAAATCCATATATGACAATTGAAGAAAAATATGATCATATAATGTGGTATAAAGATTATTTTAAAGATAAACAAGATTTATTACAAAAATTAGGTATTGTAGAATAAAGAAAATATTTGTAAAAAATATATAAAATGAAATATTAATTGTTTTTAAAAAATAAAAATTTAATAAAATATATGAATTTTATTCCTTTAAATTATATTTTATAAATAAACATTAAATAAAATGATACTTAATATTATATAATTTCTTTATAAAGAAATTAAATAAGTTATTCAATATTTACAAAATCATAAATATTGAAAAATAAAACAAAAATATTAATATTTGAAATTTACAAGTAAATAATTTATTTATTAATAAATAAATTAATTAATTAAATTATAATTTTTTCATAATTAATTTAAATTAATTTAAATATTTAAATTAATTTATGAAAAAAAAACGATATAAAACGATAGTTGGAATTGAAAACTATTAGATCAAATAGCCAATGAGATTATCGAATTGAAATTTGAGGTTAAGATTTAAGATTGATTGGTTTAATGTATATCTATGTTATAGATTAGTTTTAATATTAAAATTTCTGAAAAAAAATGATTGAAGTTGAAAATATTGAAGACCAAAATGGATTACGTCTAGATGGTAGACGAGCATTAGAATTAAGACAAATTCGTATAAAAATGGGAGTTTTTGGACAAGCTGATGGAAGTGCTTATATCGAACATGGTAACACTAAAATTTTGGTTACAGTATATGGACCTCATCAGGTTAACAATTTTTCATATATTATAATTTTAATATCAATATATTAAATTATATATAATTGATGTATTTATTTAGCCAAGAAACTCTACAGGCAGAAGTACAAGTAAAGTTACTAAAGGTATTGTAAATTGTCAATATAGTATGGCAGTATTTAGTTTATCTTCTGGAGAACGTAAACGCAAACCAAGAGGTGATAGAAAATCACAAGAAAGATCTCTTCAATTAAAACATGCAATGGAAGCAATAATACATCTAGAATTATATCCACGTTCACAGATAGATATTTATGTAGAAGCATTACAAGTTGATGGAAGTGAATATTGTGCATCTGTAAATGCAGCTACACTTGCTTTAATTGATGCTGGAATTCCTATTAAGGTAATATATAATAAAATAGAAAATAAATATTTTATAATTTTCATCAAAAAATTTTTTTCAAACAAAACTGTTATTTTATTTTTATAGAATTATGCTATAGGTTGTACTGTAACATTAATTAATTGCCCATCTTTAGAAGATGAAGATAATACATTAGAGAGAGGAGTATTAGATGCAAATTATATAGAAGAATGTGCTCCTGGTGTTACTTTATCTGTTGTTGCATTACCAAATAGTGATAGTGTATCAAAAGATGGATTAATAGTAGTAGCACAAGGTGCAGGACAAAGATTACATTTGTCTCAATTTGAATCATTAAAAGCTCGTGTATTATGTGGATGTCAAGATATAAAAACTATTTTAGATCATGCAGTCAGACAATATTTAACAGAACAATCACTTCCTTCTCTTTTTTAGATATATAAATAAAAAAATTATTCATAAAAAAATATTAAATAATATACTAACAATTTTTTTATAAAAAATTATAATATTATAATATATAAATTATATTCATTAAAATTTTTTAAATGTATTTTTTAAAAATTTATATTTTTTACAAAATCATTATATATATATCATTATATATCATTATATTATAAACAATCAACATAAATTTCTTTAAAAATATTAATGCTTGTTTATTTTTTTGTTTTTTGCATCTTAAATTTTAGCACCAGGATATCTTTCCATAATCATACCTACACCCTGTAATTAAGAATAAGACAAATTTATTTAATATAAATTTATCAATAAGATAAATATATATCATAAAGATATCAATAATATTTAAATATTTTTACAATTTCTTTTACCTGTCCTCCAGCTGCACAAGCTGCAATTAATCCAAATTGTTGATCTTCTTTAATAAGTCGATTAGCTGTATGAGTAGCTAATCGAATTCCAGTTGCTGCAAATGGATGACCAATTGACAAAGATCCACCCCATGCATTCCACTTATTGAGATCTGGTATTCCTACTTTTAAAGATCTTCCTAAATAATTTTGTGCAAACAAATCAGAATCTAAAGCTTTCAAATTGGCTAAAATTTGTCCAGCAAAAGCTTCATGTATTTCCCACACTCCAATATCTTTAATATTTAATTTTGCTTTTTGCAATACCTAAAATTTATTTTAAAAATATTATGTATTAAAATTCTAATATTTTTTATAATTATAAAATAATAAAATATTACAACCTGTGGTATAGCATAAGATGGTCCCAAGAGTAATTGATCAATAGGATCTTGGGAAACATAAATAAAATTTCTTAAATATGCTTTTGGAGTAAGACCAAGTTGAAGAGCTTTTTCTTCTGTCATTATTAAAGCTGCTGATGCACCATCAGTTAAAAAAGAAGCATTAGCAGCAGTAACTGTTCCATATGGTTTAACAAATGCTGGTTTCAATTTTGCTAATTTTTCTATCGTTGAAACTTGAATACCATTGTCTTTGTTTATTACTTCATTTACATTTGGAACTAGAAAAAATAATCAAATTAATTAACTTATTTCATTTACTCAATTTTATTTATTACCTTTATAAGGAACTATATCTGTGAGGTATCCTTGTTGTTGTGCTTTAGCAGCTAAAGTATGTGAACGTAAAGCATATTCATCTTGCTCTTTTCTTGATATTCCAAATGCAGCTGCTAATCTGTCACTACTATGTCCCATTGTTTCATTACTAGAAAATTCTGCTACTGCAGGTAACTGTAATTATATAAATAAATCAAATATAATATATAAGTATTATATAATATAATATTTAGAATTAAAATATAATTTTAGGTAAAAAAAAATATAAATATACATCTGGTACAAAATGTGCTGCTCTGATATTAGTAAGAAGTGTTAGTTTTTGTCCAATTGTTTTTGCTTTATTAGCTTGTAACATCAATGTTCTCATACGTCTGCTATGTCTAATTGGTATATCTGACAAAAATTCCACTCCTCCTGCTATGATTACATCATATACACCACATGCTATCAAACCCATACCAGTTGTAAGAGCTTGATTACTACTGATGCATGCCATAGTTACTGTATGTGCAGGAATACGATCACTATATCCTGCTGCTAAAGCTGCTTCTCTAGCAATATTTGAAGTCTTTACTTCTTGTATTACTGTACCATAAACAATATATTCAACAATTTCTTTAGGAAATTTAATTTTCTTTTGTAAAGCCCTGATAATAAAATATAAATATATATAAATTATAAAATAAATTATTATAACATAATATCATAAAATTATAATTGTAAATAATAATAATTATTATAAAATATATTTTTAAAAAAAACTTATACTAATTATAAAAAAATATGATAATATAAAAATTTAATTAAATATGATTAAATATATTTAAAAAATAAAAATTTACACTAATGAATGTCTGGCAAGATCATATGCCATCAAGTTTTTGTAACTTGTTCCAGAATGTAAAAATGGTGTTCTTACACCATCAATAAATACAATATTCTTAGTAACATTACTTTTAGTTGCATATAATTTATTATTTGTTTTTAAATATTTTATTGTAGAACCTAAAATAAAAAATATATAGTATTATAATTTATAATACATTTAAGAAATATAATAAAAAAATATGATTATAATTATCATAAAGATTATGTTGTAATCATAAATAATTATATTGATTATTTTATAATTATAAATACTAATAATAATGATAATAATAAAGATAGTAATAATATGATAATATATGATAATATATGATAATAAATATTAATTATAAAAAAAAATTTTAAATTTCAAATGAATTTTTTAATTATCAACAATATTTAATATTTAAGTAATAATCAATATTTAGTATTTATGAACAAAAAATTATGATATTAGCGACAATAAAAAATTATAAAATAGTTTTATTTTAAAGATTTTCTACTTTATATCTAAAAAATTAAAAACGATTTATACGAATTATATATTATTCTTGAATTTTTTTATAATATTTATAGTATAATATAATTCAACATACCATACTTAGGAAATCCTCCTTTTATTAAAAATTTATTTTTGACAAGAAAAAACATGTTTAAAATCAATTTAAATCTATTTATTTTTTAAAATCTCATTTATTCCTTTAAATGTTACTATTTAATATATACCAACAAGTATCGAAGACTGAATATATAAGTACTTTGACCTATATTTAAGTCTTATTCTCAAAATATTTTTATACATAATTAGTTATACTAGCACATAAGTATTAAATAAATGAACTAATAAAATAGAAAATATATTTCAAATATAGAATATATTCATTTCAAAAAATATAGATTTTATTAGTTATTTCTATTATTATGTACAATTATAAAAATAGAATATAATAGAATTACAATTAGAATAAAAATTAAAATTTCATATCTAAATAAAATTATATGATATTATATAAATAGAAATAAGCAAATTTATACTTTTATATCATTTCGTTCATTATTTCCGACTTTATTTAGTATTCATGTACACTTTAAATAGTATTAAATATCGTTACATAGAAATTATCTTAATTTAGAAGTGCGGGAAAACTGACAGATTTTCCCGCTTACAATTTCATGTACGAATAATTTTTAGTGCTATGTAATGAATATTGATTTCATGTAGTTTCAGAATGAATTTAGTGCATTCTATTGTAGAACGTGAAAAAGGATTTGGTAATGTGTTTTTTTATGATTGTATATAGTAAAAACTTTAAATATATATTATAAATATAAAATAGGTTATATAAAATACCATTACATTGAATGTGATATTTGTATGTTTCATGTATAATATTTATTTTTATAAATATATAGATGTAAATTTTGAAAAATTATACAAATTTTTCCAGCATCGATACGTGATTATGATATTGCTTTATATCGTTTAAAATGTTACGAACATGATGTATATCGAGGTATAACGCCAAGTACAAATGCACTTGATTTCAATCCTGAACCACCAGTTTTTGCATGTCGATTTTGTACTACAGAAGGATACGAACAAATAATTGCTTTAGCAAATGAAGATGGAAAGATTGCTTTACAAGATACAAATATCAAAAGTATTAAATCAAATCAACCATTAGAAGGAACACAGGTATATCGTTGTGATATGTTAAATTATTAAAAATTAAAAATTATAATAGAATAAAATATTAGATATAATTTTTTATTTATAAAATTATAACTAATATAAAATATATTATTAAGAACATATAAAAAATAAATTTAATATTTTTTAGGCACATTGCAATGCAATATTTGATATAGCTTGGATGCCAGGAGAATTAAAATTAGTCACAGCATCTGGAGATCATACTGCTAGATTATGGGATATATCTACTACTGGTGATATTCGATTAATTAATCATTTTCATGCTCATACAAGAAGTATTAAGACTGCAGTGTTTCGTTTTCAGGATCAAGGTATCTTTAATATTCTATAAATTTTTATTTTATTTTTTTAAGATTTATTATTTTTAAGAAATTAATCTAAAAGAATATATATTTTAGCTGTATTTGCAACTGGAGCTAGAGATGGTTCTATAATGATATGGGATATTCGAGCTAATCATTATGAACGTCCTAAGCCAGATAATTGTATTGCTAATGCACATAATGTTGGAATTCTAAGTAATGTACGACAACGTAGGGTAATCAGTCATGCATCTAGAGCACAAAGTATTACTGGTTTAGCATTTCAAGATGATTTTACTTTACTTTCGTGTGCTGCTGGAGATGGGTAAGTTTATTGATATAAATATATTATAAAGAAAGAAAATAATGTTAATTTTAGTTATAAATTTGATATAGTTTAATAAAAGTTTGGGATTTGCGTAAAAATTATACTGTTCACAAAAAAGATCCCATAGCTAAGCATACAATGAATTATACTGGACATAGTACAAGAAATGGATTTTCATCATTATTAATATGTCCAGCCAGAATTACACTATATGCTAGTTGTATGGATAACATTATATATGCCTATAATATATCATCTTATAATCCTAAACCAAGTAAGAATAATAAAAAAAATATATTATTGATACTAAATACGAAATTTAAAAATTTTCTTTTTGCATTAGTTGCAGAATTTTATGGACATCAAAATCGTACATATTATGTTAAAACATGTTTAAGTCCTGATGGACGTTATATTGCAAGTGGTTCCAGTGATGAACTTGCATATATTTGGCATACAAGCAAACCAGGAGCACCAGTTGTGCAACTTTCTGGACATACTGAAGAAGTTACTTGCATTGCTTGGTGTACTATTGGAGAAACAAAAGTATTAAAAATGTTATGCTTTTTTTCATTATATTTTTTTTATATATAATATTAATGTTTTTAAAAATTATATATGTATAGATAGTTACATGTTCTGATGATTCATGCCATCGAATTTGGAGAATTGGTTATGAACATAAATTAGATAATGAAGAAATATTAATACGTGGTAATGCAGAAGTCATTTCTAATAAGAATCCATTAGAAAATTTAAAACTTGAAACTACACCAACTGTTACACGGCGTTGCATCACATCTGAAGAACATACTCCAGGATCTGATACTATATCTAGTATGTAATTATAATATATATAATATATATAATATATATAATAATTATAATAATAAAATCATAAAATTTTATTATTATTATAAATATAATTATATATTATTAATTTTATTTAATTTATTATTATTATTTTATATATTTTATTACTTCTTTCTTTTACCAGATATTACACCTGGACCGAGTTCATCAGATGCTTACAATCAAACAGAAGACAATCAAAATCTATTTAATATTACTGGTTCAATGAAAAGAAGTTATTTCCAAATGACCAATGGATCTTGGTCTGATGAAAAATTTAAGTCAATTTTATCTCCTATAGAAGAGAATCTCACATCCATTACAAAACGTATTCATTTAGAAAATCGTGGAGCACGAAGATTATTTAGTCCATATAATGATAATAATTCGTTATTAAATAGAGGTTACGAATCTGATGAACCAACTACAAGTTTATCAAATATAGAAAGTAGAAACAGCGAAATTAGTTTTTCACCTACGCTAAATCTTCCGAACTTCGTTATTGATGGTACAGCGCCACATTTACTTCAATTATCTCCAGAAAAATATAAAGAAAATGTTGATTGGTTAACAAGAATGCGAAGAGAAAAATATGAACAAAAAATGAGGAAAACAATGTCAGAAAAATTGCCTAGTCCTGTTTCTTGTACAATGCTTACTAGGAGAAATACTAGGTCACGATCAACAGAACCACAAAAAATATCTAAAATACCGAGAAGTCCAACACTTTCTTTATTGAATTTTTTTAAAGTTACTGGTAAAGATTGTGAAACGAATATATTATAATAATGCTAATATAATACATTTTACAAAATTTTGGAAATTATCATGAATTCTTCTTATTAGATTATGTTTTATCTATGTTAAAATTCATATAGAACTTTTATTAAAAATATTTGTTAGGAATATGTTTTACAATACAAAATTATATCCAAAATATCAATCAATGAATGTGATATGAATTTCAGCGCGCTTTCTCATGTTTATGATGTGGTACCTTATAAAATAAATAAGACTTACAATAATAAATATCATAATGTAAGATAAATATAACATAAAAGTATTACAAGTATGTAAAAATAGTTTATATACTCAATATAGTATATCTTTTATATATGCAATAATAAATTATTTTTATAACATATTGTATTAAAATAAAAAGTTTTGCTAATTTTTTTACTAATATCTAATTTTTTATAATTTTTATAAGAATCAAAAATTCAAAACAAATAAGTAATTCTTAAATTTTATTTATCTTATATACATCTTTTATCAACTTTTGAATTGAGGACAAAATACTTTTACTGCCTGTGAAAACAATTTAATTTCAACTGCTTTTAATTCGTATTCTTCATTGTCGATATATAATGTATAATGTTTATCAACCTGTAATGTATATCAAAAATGTTTATAAAAAATGAATTAATAACTTAAAATTAAAAGTAAATTGAAGTTACAAAACTTCTATCTTTTTTTTTTTAAATCTTACTGTTTGTGGAGTTAATTCAATTTTTTTTGCTTCTACTACTTGTTCACATAATGATTTATTATTTTGTTCTTTTTTCCAACCTTTAGATACAAAAGAAAAATAATCTATATCCTTTGGACCTATAATAAAAACAATTTTTTATGATCATATTAATTTTTTTTAAAGATAAAATATTTATTTAAATACCCATTTTCACTTTCAAAGATGATGGAGATTCATTTTGTGATTTGTCTATATTAGAAGTTTCTATATGTAATTCACAAGTTGATATAGGTAATTCATGGAGAATATCACATTTTTCATTTATTATCTTACTAAAATCAATACTATCTAAAAAAAAAAAATAATAATAATAATCTAATAATAGATTTTAAGATATTACTTATTTTGAATATATAAATAAAAATATACCTCTAATGATAGTATTCCTTGGTGCAAATACATGCCACCATCTTGTGTTTAGATTAGAAAATCCATTTGTTGAATTTTTTTGATTACAACGAGAACAACCTTCACAAGGAAGTGTATATTTCAATATTACATCACAATATTTATTTAAATTTTCTTTATAACCATTAAATATATAAGTTGCATATCTATATATTAAATAATGTGTAAGCATAATGCAGATATAAATTTTAAAATATTAAAAAGAGATATTTATACTTTTTTAAAGGTCCCCAATACCAATATTTTGTAGCTAAAGCATTTGCATCTTTCCATGCACCCCATTCTACTGCTCCCATAGCATAAATTGGCTTTACTGGTTCCTTAGGATTATCCTTTAATTTTAAAATCAAATTTAAATTAATTAATGACAAATTTAAATTAATTAATGACAAATTTAAAAATAAATTATGTTTATATAAAAGAAATATACTTCAATAGGTTTAACTTCAATCATATCCATCATTTTAGATTTTTCATTTATAATTGCCATTGTTGCCTCTATCATTTGCTTTATATCAGAAAGATCATCGTATTTATGATATAAAGATTTTGCAATTTTATTCGTTTGTCCCAATGGCAAAATACCAATAGGGCACTGTTTAACTGATTTAAGATTCAAGTCATATTTCCTTACTAATCCAGTTAAAACATCAGATAATGTACCATCTCCTCCTGCAACTATAATAGCATCAGTAGGTGTATCTAAATTCATTATAATTTTCCGAGCATCATTTTGTGATTCTGTCTGTATTATAGTTACAGCAATTCCAGCTAAATGCAGAAGTGGTTCACAATAATTTTGAAATAATTTTTTAGCTTTCCTATAAATAATAATAATATTTAATATCAATTAATCAATAAACAGAATTTTAATTTATAATCAAACAATCAAACCCTTTTTTAGCAGCTGGATTTAAAATAATAGTTACATGACGAGGTTTTATATTTGTTGGAAGTGGAAGATCACCATATTGTGAAATACTTTCACAATATTGTCTCATTAATTGATCAGTGCTAAAAATTATATTATTTTTATATTATTTTTAATTTATTAATAGTTAATTTAATCATAATAGTTAACTTTATCATAAAATTAATATATATATATATATATATATATATTATAAATATTTCAATTAAAAATAATCCAATTTTTTAAAATTATAT